TACCCAGCACCCATATGGCAGCTAACAACTGTCCATAACTCCAGTCCCTGGGGATCTGACAGCCTCTTCTGACCTCTGTGGGCATTGCGTGACACGGGTGCACTTACCTACATGCAGGCAATACACTGTAGTTATTAAAAATAAAAAATAAATAAATTTTTAAAAAAAATTTAGGTGAACCAAAGAAAAGCCAAGAGCAACAAAAATTAGGCCAACAAGATGGCTCAGTGTTAAAGGGCTTGCTGCATAAGCTTGAGGATTTGAGTTTGAACTCTAGAACCCAGGTAAAGGTGGATGGAGAGAACTGACTTTACAGAGTTGTTCCCTGACCTCCAGCCTCCTTCCATGGATTGTTGCCACCTCCAATTAATTAATTAATTAAAAGTGGTGGTGTATGACTTTAATCCCAGCACTTGGGAGGCAGGGGCAGGTGGATCTCTATGAGTTCAAGGCCAGCCTGGTCTACATAGTGAGTTTCAGGACAGCTGGGGCTACAGGGAGACCCTGTCTCAAAAAGATCAAAAAAACAAAACAAAACACAAATTTACCTGTGTCAAAAATTTAAATGTTGACAGGCCTGGTGGTAAACACCTTCAATCTCAGGACTCAGGAGGCAGAGGCAGGCGGATCTCTGTGAGATTGAGTCTAGACTGGGCCTCATAGTAAGTTCCAGACCAGCTGGGGCTACAAAGAAATCCTGTCTCAAAATTTAATTAATTAGTTAGTTAATTAATTTAATTAAAAGTAATTTAATCAGTGAGGAGGGAAACTTCATTTTCTATCAGGTTCATTTCCATCTTGTCAGCCAGAACAGTGACCTGTCTACTGCCTCCTGCAGACCAGGGTTGATTTTGTCTGGCTTTCCAGGTTTGGATTCCTGGACTGAATGTAAATTCTGAGAAGCCAGTCTAGGACACTCAGTGAGTAGCCTGGTGGTGCTTTGCAGCCCTCTGCTGGCAGCGAGCGTTCGCAACGCCCCAACCAAGAAGTCCTTGGCTGTGTGCTTATGATTTTATTCACTTAATCCACTCACATTTACTTTGTCCTGACTGTATATCTGACATCCCTGGAAACACACTCTGGGGATGGCCCTGATGCAGGCACCCCTCCACAAAATGGAGGAAACTGAGGCTGGGAGATGTGATGTCATGGAAAATATTCCAACACCAAAAAACTCTGAAACCCAAGTCACCACCTGAGGGGCCAGGGCCCTGAGTCCTGCTATGCATTGAGTTCCCAGGGTGACCTGGCAACAGATGCATCGAGGAGACCTGGGACCAGGGTGGTTACAGGAAACCTCAGCACCTGCCCAGGGCTCCTTGTGTGGAGGACGGCTTGGGAGCCAGGGAACAGAGGGCCTGCTGTGATGGTCCCCATCTGGAGGACATAGGCTGGACCTCACAAGGAGGACATGGGCTGGACCCCACCCAGAGGGGGAGGCTTCTGGTCTGGAGCTGCAGACACACCTGTCCCTGAGCCACAAGTGGTAGAAGTTTCCAAAGATGGGAAGAGCGATGGAGAGAGAGATGGAGACAGGGTGCAGCAGAACACACAGCCTTCACTGGGCTGAGTGCCACAGGCATCCAATCCAGCACTGTTGTGGCCCCATCCGCCCTGTGGTCTCCCAGGTTCTCAGGAACCTCTGTGCCTCTAGGGTACTGGGACATTCTGTGGAGGTGTACATAGCCGGGTAGGCCTCACTGTGGGATGCAAAGGTCCTGGTAGGAGACATAGCACCTCTAGAAGGCCAGGACGGGACACTGAAGGATACGCTCAGCCCTGTGTAGAGTCCAAACCTGTGGTCTTTGCCCAGTATCCTGTGCAGTGGATTAGCGCAAAAGACCCAGGTGGACTTTATCATTTGTGTGTGTGTGTGTGTGTGTGTGTGTGTGTGTATGTGTACGTGAGTGATACGTGAACACATGTTCCTGTGTCTGTGGGTGCAAAAGGACCTGCACACCCACCTGACTTTTACATGGATATTGGGGATCTGAACTCTGGTCCTTGTGTGTATGTGGCAATGGGTTGGTAAACAAGGTGGCTGAGGATACCCTGTGCAGGGCAGAATGGCCAAGACTTACCCCATGGGCCCTGGGCCCTGAGGCCTCCTCACCTCCCATGGCAGATGGAACCCCACAGAGGGGTTAGTGCTGAGAATCCTGAACTTGGGACTGTCCTGAATCATCCAGGGCCCAGTGTCGCCACAGGATCCTCAGAGGGAGGCAGGAGGATGAGGCAGAAAGACTGGGAGACAACATTCTGCTGGCTCTGAAGAGGGAGGAAGGGACCATAAGCTAAGGGATGGGGGCCTCCAGACTCTTCTGGGATGAGGCCTCTTTCCTCAGACTGGGGTCTCCCAGGGCATAGGTCTCCACCCTCAGACTATAGCTTTCTGCCCAGACTTGGCACCCTGCACCTCTTCCTGACGCTCAAGGTTCTCAAACCTCAGCCCTGGCTATTTCCATCTCACATCTGCCTTGCCCATCCTGTGGGTGCCTTAAAGATCTCAAAATAGCTGTGAGGGGTGGCGGAGAGACTGTAATTGTCACCAGCTACTTCTGGAGGGGCAGAGCCTCAGAGGCCAGTGAATCTGGATGCCCCCCACTTCATTGCATCTGTCCCTTCCTCTTAGGGTCACCCACGCCTGTTACACAGGTTGCCCACTGCTCAAGGCACTTGGCCAGGTCCACTGTGTAGGGCTCCATGTGTGGCTGGGTTGGCGCCTTATGCTGACACCCTGTCATCTTGTCCGATGTCTGAGAACTCATCTCACTACCTGCACTGAATCCCACCCCAACCTCCCACAAACTAGCTTGTGGGCCATCACCCTCCCAGGTGTACAGCTTGGGAGATAAGGCTGAGGTCACCAGGATCAACGTATCAGACAGAGGGCCAGCAACTCAGACAGGTTTATTTCATAGCAACATGGATAAGTTTGGAAGTTGGCAAGACCAGAACTGAGGGCTCCTAAATGGAGTCCTTTTCCTGCCAGGTGACAGATCATGGCTCTTTGCCCTCTGGTGCACAGGGAAGGACAGCTGAGGACTTCAGGGAAAGATCCAGACATAGCTTCCCCTGGGCATCACTTCCTCAGACTCCCAAGCATTTGGCAAAGTCTCAGAAACAGAAAGCTAGGGGACGAATTTTCATCTCAGCCTAATCACCCCACTCCCCAAGCAGAAAATCCACACATGCCCCTGAAAATAAAAGTGAAAATATATAGCACTTGGGAGGCAGAGACAGTTGGATCTTTGTGAGATTGAGGCCAGCCCGGGCTACTTAGCAAAAATCTCAAAGCATAGCTTGGCAGTGTTCATGGGCAGGGAGTCTTTGTCCACACGCAGGCTCAGTCCTCATCCTCACTGGCATATATTCTTGCTTCCCAGCGCTCCGCTAAGGCGTTCTTATGCCGTGTCACCCGAGTGGCTCCCAGGACCTGCATGCACACAGGGGTCCCCCTCGTTGACATGAACCACCTCCAGGGGACTCCCCACTGAAACAGAGCTGAAGTGGAGTGCCAACCCCTCCCCTTTGCGTCACACCCTCAGCTTCTAATATTATGACCAAGGGAGCTGCTGATTTGTGCTGAGCTTCACAGCAGAGATATTATGCCTGGGCCAAGCATAGGAAAGGCTGCAACTGCTGGGCAAAGGGGCACCAGGAGGCTGAGGCAGGAGGACTCCTGCAAGTTCAAGGCCAACTGAGGCTACATGAGAATAATAATAATAATAATATAATGAGAAGAAGAAAAAGCCAGGAAGGATGGTGCAGGTCTGTATTCCCAGCACTCAGTAGACTGAGGCAGGAAGAGTGTGAGTTTAAGGTTAGCCTGGGCTACATAGTAAATTCAAGGGCAGCTTGTGCTACATGAAACCTTGTTTAATGATAATAGTAACACACCAGGCATGGTGGTGCAGGCCTGCCATGCCAAAACTCAAGAGACTGAGGCAGGAGGATTGTGAGTTCCAGGTGAACCTGGACTAGATAGTGAAACAAATACCTGCCCCCACCAACCCTCCAAATATGCTTTTATATACTAATCTGTTGAAAACTTGATCTTATGATAAAGAGGCCTCACATAGAGAGACCCTCTTGCCATAATCTATGCCTGTGGCAGGCATTACAAGTCAATCACCGCACAATCTACCATGGCAGACATCACAAGCAGGTCATAACACAATCTACCTCAGTAAGACCCTGGCAATGGAACAGATACTCAGTGTAGTCCAAAGCCTAGAAGAAAAGCCTTTGATGGATAATGCCATGGTGAGGGGATGGAAGACAGAGACAGACTGGAGCACTCCCCACACGATGGAGATCACTCACCTCTGAGTTGACATGATCTGCAGGGTTGATACCTGCATACTGTGGGAGAAGACCAAGAATCAGTACCCATCCTTTCTGCCTAGCTCCACCTGGAAGTCTACCACAAGCTAGTTTACTGTCCTCCCTTGGGGCAGGAAGGGAAGAGACACCCCACTGATGCAGCTCTGCCAGGGTCTCATGGTTGCCAAACTCAAAGCCATCTGTCATGCTGTACCCTCACACCGTTCCACTCACAGCCAACAGTGCCCACAGTTTATCTCAGTGTATTATGGTGAGCAAGGCGGGCATGTACCAAGCTCTGCTGGAGACTGGATCTTGTCCTGTCGCACACAGAACATTCCATGTGTATGAGAACCCTTCGAGCTGGCTGCTATCATCATATTGATTTTTCAGAAGAGGAGACCAAGCGTCAGAGTGGGGCTGCAACTTGCCTGTACTTGAACCTTGGTCACTGGGCCAAGCTATGCCTCATATCATGGCATCAGGCTGTGATCCTGGGTGGGTAGGTCAGGATGTATGTTATTCTCCCTGGTATCCCCAAACCCTCCTAACAGCCCGCCCATGGCATGTCTCACGGCAGTGGCACTGGGAAGGTGGTTCAGTGCATAAAGTGCTTGCCTTGCAAGCCTGAGGACCTGAGTTCAAATTCCAAGAACCCATGTAGCCCAGGGTGTGGATGCACATGTCTGTCATCTCCACATCTCCAGTGGAGATGAGAGGTGGAGAAAGGAGAGTCCCCAGAAGCTGTCAGGCCAGCCTGGCAGACAGCAGTGAACCCAAGAGACTCTGCCTCAAATAAGGTGGAAAGTGAAGATGGACTGAGGTTGTGCTGGGGCATGCAGTGTCCACAAACACAAAAGATTAAGGAACTGGAAAGACCACTCAGGAGTCTTGCAGAGGACCCGGGTTTGGTTCCCAGGGGATCCAATGCCCTTTTCTGGCCTCCAAGGGCATTGCACTTACATACATGCTACAATGTTCATACACATAAAATTTAAAAAATAGGGGTTGGGGATTTAGCTCCGTGGTAGAGTGCTTCCTAGTAAGCACAAGGCCCTGAGTTCGGTCCTCAGCTCTGAAAAAAAGAAAAAAAAAAGACAAAATAACAAAATTTTAAAAAATAATAATTATGTAGCCGGGCGTGGTGGTACATGCCTGTAGTCCCAGCACTTAGGAGGCAGAGGCAGGTGGATCTCTGTGAGTTCAAGGCCAGCCTGATCTACATAGTGAGTTCCAGGACAGCTGGGGCTACAAGGGAGACCCTGCCTCAAAAAGACAAAAAAAATAATAATAACTACAATGCTAATGACTAGCCAACACTTTTCTTCCTCCTTTGCCCAGAACTTTGACCTTTGGCCCCAAAGGTGACCTCGAAATAAGAACAGAGTCCCTCTCTTATCTGCCCCCCAGACAGGACAGGCCGAGAAGCCCATCCATTGTCCATACATGGAGAGTCACCTGCTGGGGCCAGTGGTACTGGACCCAGGATGAACTTAGTGGAGACCTTCCCTTGGAAGAAAACTCACCCAGGTCTCCTTCTTCCTCTGCCCGGGAGCATAGCCTGCTATGTCTGCCACATCAACAGGGGCCTCTGCCTTCCACGTCAGGTTGGAGTGCAGGTGGATGGGAGTGAAAACTGGTGATTCTGACACCGAATAGCTGCCTGTGATGCCTGTGGTGGAGAGGAAGCCAGCATCAGAGACAATAGGACATCTGTCAGGCTGAAGTCAGGTGACCTGCAGCTCTGGACCAGGGTCAGGAACTGCTAAAGACACAGGTGAATGGACAGACAGGCAGCTAGCTGTGACAGATGTACCAAAATAGCCTGTCAGGAGAGATTTTTGCACACACAAGCCAAAACACTGGAAGAGCTGGCTCAGCAGTTAAGAGCACTGGCTGTTCTTGCAGAGGACCAGGGTTCTGTTCCCAGCACCCATATGGTGACTAACAGTTCTCGGTAACTCTGGGCTCCATGGGCATTGCACACATGGGTGCACTTACATACACGCAGACAAAACACTCATACACATAAAGTAAAACTAAATAAATAAAAGGAAGAAACATAAAGGAAAAGTTGGCATTTCCTAGCTCTGGCCCCTGCGGTCATTGCCATCCCCAGCTTACCAGATGCCCGGGAGGAGCTCCGGGAGTATTGCTCTCCGTCCTGCTCCTGGTCCAGCATTGGGGAGAAGACCTCGGGGAACAGCGCAGTCCTTCGCTCCTCGGCCACCTCTCGCTCACGCTGCAAAACGCTCTGCATCTCCCTCTCCAGCAGACCAGAGGACGGCGACTTATGCAGTCGCAATGCGGGAGCCCCGGCCACCTCCCAGCCCCAGGTGTGGGACTGCTCAGCCTGCTGGGGTGCATCCGGGACCCTGAAGCTCAGTGGTCGAAGGAAGAAATACTCCCGTCGCAGGACACCCCCATTGGCACGTGGGGGTCCCCCGGGGGACTTGAGGCCCTCTTGCTTTGAGCTCAGGAATTTCCCAGATGATTCTGACAGACGCTTGGGAGACCTAGTGGCCACAGCTTTGCTGTCCTCCATAGGGAGGCCACTCGGCTTGCTGTAGACCCCCAAAGCTGAGAATCCTAGCTGGGGGGTCCCGGACCCCAGATAGGGCTGGTAGGCATCTGGTGTGATGCGGTTGATCTTTCGTGTTTCTGGAGCTGGGTTTGCCACCCGGGCATCTAGGGTGGGGCTGAGGATACTGTCCGAGCTCAGGGATCTCCAGAGGCCGGGCTGAGAGTCCTGAGAAGCCCAGTTAGGTGTAGACGCGCGGCCCACCTGCAAGCCCTCCCGCCTGTGGTCCTCCTCACGCTGTGTCTCCTGGACCATGTCCCTCTGCACATAGAGTGAAGGCCGGCCTCTGTCCCTCCGCTGTGGCCCCTCAAGCAGGTTCACCTTGCTGAGCACTGGCCTGCTGGGGATCTGCACCAGCTCCTGGTGACCAGCTGCCCGGCCAAGTCCCCTCTGCTCCCGCAGATCAGCCTCTCTCTCCTGGGCCAGTCTGATCTCCCGCTCGATGGGCGTCTCTTTGGGGATCTCAGAAGCCACCTCACTGGGCTGGGTGCTAGGGTTGTTGACTGTACAAATGTTGGATGCAGCAGGGAAACCACCTCGGACCCTCTTCTCCAAGATCATCTCTTTTACTGGTGAGGTAACTGGGACAGGGGCAACAAACCCATTGGCTATGTGGGGCCTGTTGAGGTCCTTGGGGGCCTGGCTGACCCCTGGTGGGGGATGTGCAAGTGTCACCCTGGCCATGGGGTTCCCAGAGACTGGGTTTGTGTTTGCTTTCTCCAAACTCAAAAACTGCTGCCGGGCCACCAGGAAGTCAATCTGTTCCCTGTCCACCAAGCTCTCCTTGAGGACTGTGGACCGAGGCTGGCCAACAAGCCTGGGGTCTCCCTGGTCATTTGCACCCTGGACTGTGGCCGCTGTGCTGCATTTCTTGACTGCCTGGCCCTGGATGATGACCCAGCGCTCCATGTCCAGGTCTTGTGACTGGCTACAGAGGGTGTTACTGGCATCCAGGCAATAAGTCTTCATCTCCTCGTCTTCCTCATCTTCCAAGAACTGTGACTGTGCGGACGGCTGGCTGGAGAAAGCTTGTCTCTTGTGGGAAACCCTTGCTCTTTCCACATCTGGCCAGGCCTGCGGTTCCTCCCTGCTCCACTCAGCCTCTGACCCAACACCCACCAACTCGATGGTGTAACTGGTGTGCCCGTCCAGTGCCAAGCCTGTGACTCGGGACGAGTTGGGGTTGCTAAAAATGGGGTATCTGGTAACTCGATCCATATCAAGGGGTCTCAGTGTGACCTTCCTCTGTGGGGATGGCAGCCTCTGGGCTCACTGAGGGAGAGAGGGTGAGGAAGACTAGGTCAGACCACCATTGAAGACAGAGACAGGAATCCCCCCAACATGGCATGGTCTCCCACCAAAAAAATAAAACATTTGAGCTCCTGGATCAAATGGTACCTAAATCTCTAGGTATCCTGTGGCTGAACCAACAAGATTATACTTTACTGTCTGATCTCTTCTTCTTTCTTTTTTCTTCTTTAATGAGACAGGGTCTCACTATGTAGCCCAGGCTGCCCTCAATCTCACAGAGATCTGCCTGCCTCTGCTTCCTGAGTATTGGATTTAATGGCATGCACCACCACACCCAGCTTCTTTTTCTTCTCTTTTTAAAATACGTATTTGTTTATTAATTTATTGAGGCAAGGTCTCCCTGTAGTCCCAGGTGGCCTGGAACTCGCTATGTAGACTAGGCTGGCCTCTATCTTATAGAGAGTCGCCTGCCTCGGCCTTGAGAGTGCTGAGGTTAAAGGCGTGTGCTGCTACCATGCCTGGCTTAAGATGTATGGTTTTTAATGTTCTGTTATTAGGTGCATAGGAGTCTGCTTTATGGCATGTATGTATGTACGTAGTATGTATTTAATGTGTCTGGAGTGTTTTGTCTGCATGGATATAAGGGCACCATATGCATGCAATACCTGTGGAGGCCAGAAGAGGGTGTTGGATTCCCCGGAACTGGGGTTATGGATGATTGTGAACCACAATGTGTGGGAACTGAACAGCTCGTGCTCCTAACTGCTGAGCCAGCTCTCCAGCTCCCCATTTCACCTTTTCTTCCTCTCTCTCTCTCTCTCTCTCTCTCTCTCTCTCTCTCTCTCTATAGATCATTTGCCATCTTGGGACTGGAGAGATGGCTCAACAGTTAAGAGCACTGGCTGCTCTTGCAGAGAATTATGTAGGCCAGGCTGTTTCAAAACTCAGCAACTCAGCAATCCTCCTGCTTTAGCCACCTGAGTGCTCATTTGACATGTGGTTGACAGGTGTGTGCCCTTGTACCTTGCTGACTTTTGGAGGCTCAGCCATCCACCCATCTTCTAAACACCCTGGTGGCCAATTGCCTCTCCCTCACCTCTGTCCCTTGCCCCTGTTCCAGCTCCCTAATATTTGAGGCTCTGGTTGGTTTCTACTCCATGTACATCTGCCCCTCCACAGAGCTCAGAACCTGCTCTCACACTTCTGAGATAAGACTCCATCTGTGGTCTTCTTACCCAACAACTTTCAAGGATGCACTCAGAGTATACTCCTTGATGATGATGCCTTACAGGGAAACTGAGGCTCAGAGAGGGGCAGAAAATGGGGTTTTCCAGCACACACAACCCTGGTCCTCTGCCCTGTAGAACAACTGGTCACATCTCAACAACTCCCTGAATCAGCACCATAAACCCAGGATAGGATGGGAGTGCCATGGACCTTGTCCCTAAGCCTGGGTGGGGTACAGAGCCACAGATGATACCTTGACCAGATCAGGGGTCAACCTTGTCCAAGATCTTTGTCCAACAGTCCTAACATTTTGCTTTCACTTTTACTTCTGTCTCCTGGAATCTGGAGCCACAGCCCGACTACACAACCAGGGCCCCCCAAAATCATCAAGAGTGCACCCCTGAGCCATGCCCCAGGCCCCTCACTGGGCGATTCTAGGCTGTCACTATACCCCTGGGCCATGTCCCCAGCCCCTCACTGGAGAGTCTAGGCTGTCACTCTACCCCTGAGCCACGCCCCCAGCCCCTCACTGGGGGATTCCAGGCTGTCACTCTACCCTGAGCCACGCCCCTAGCCCCTCACTGGGGGATTCCAGGCTGTCACTTACCCCTGAGCCACATCCCCTGTCCCTCACTGGGGATTCTAGGCTGTCACTATACCCCTGGGCCATACCCCTAGCCCTCCTTTTACTTTTTGAGAGTCAGGCTGACTAAGCTGCCCAGGCTGGTCTTGAACTCTGAGCTGGTGTGCACCTGGCACATTTATGGAGTGACTGGTATTTACACAGTATTTTATGATCCCTATCATTGGACAGTGGGATGACCTCTAGGAGGATGGGATACAGGGGTCCTCTGGGGTGGGGCGAGCGTGGTGGGGTGCCACATTCTTCCTATGATTCACACCAGAGGGTGGAGCTTGGGTTGGGGTTCAAGGCCACTAGGTCCCTCTAAGTTATGGGCTGGGCAAGTGTCTGTATCCATGGCTTTGGGGTCCAGACACAACCTGCCACAGAAGCTATAAAACCAGCTTTGTGCCTGGTATATGGTAAGCACTCACAGATGCTTCACAGTGGCTATAGATATAACAAATTAATTCCCAGATCCACCTGGGAGGGGTCTCAGGGTCACCTGGGGGGCCAATGCCTAGGGTCTGGGGAGATTGAGTTGATGGCTGGTATGTGGAAGCCCTGGTGGGCACAAAGGGCCTCTTTGTGATCTTCAGCTCCCACAGTCTCAGCCCTCAGCCCCATCTTAATTCCTGTCCACCAGTCACACTACACACCATCATCTTATTCAGGGCTCACAAGAACCCAGGAAAAGGGAACCAGCTTTGTAATGGGAACTTGGTCCCAGCGAGGGAGGTCACACAGCACTGATGATAGAGGGAGTTCCAAAGCCAGTGACCTTTCACCAGCTGCCACCTCAGTGCAGGAAGCTGACCTTGTGATTCCCACTGAAACTGGGTTTATGGCCCCTGGGGGAATACCTGCTTCCTCTAGCCTCCTGCCCCTAGGGCAAAGGCCCTTTGTCAAGACCCCCAGGTCATCTATCAGGGAGAGGCTCAGAGAGTCCTGTCCCCTGGGGTGCTACTTGTCTCCCAGATCACTGGCCCCAGGGAACCCCAGCCTGAGGCTGACCTCTGACCACAGACTGGACCAGCCTGAGACGCATGGCCAGGACCCCAGCCTCCTGAGGTGCCTCCAAAACCAGCCCTGAACCCCAGAAAGGGGAGAGTCACTACCTGAATGCTGGAAGGTCTCACATAGCATTGGGTTCAGCTATCTTTCAGTGGGTTTGGGGCTCTGGGATTTGGGTTAGTGGGGGTCAGACCTCAGGTTCTTAAAGCCATGAGGACCTGGATCTGCAGCTGGGCTGAGGGTGGTGGGGACAGATGGGAGGTCTCTGGGGCCTGAGTGCCCTGTAGGCAAGCCAACCCTGCTAATAGGTACACACCCCCAAACAAACTCTTCTTGCTTTTCCTGAGTCCCCCACTGATCTCATCCCAGTCCCCTGGCTTCCCAGCTTCACCTGCCAGTCCAGGATGCCCAGGCCTCCTCCTGGCCTCCAGCTCTGTCCTCCTCAGAGTGGCCCCTGGCTCCGCCCTGTCTACCTGTTGCCAAGGGGATGAGGCCCCACCTGGGAGCAGGTGTGCCCCTCCTCCCCAGCCCCACCTGGCCCAGGAAACAAAGTCCACAGAATGGCAGAAAAACGATACTAACGGGCTTGGCAAGGGCGGGCACCATGCCACTACAGGCCTTGGCCCCAGGGAGCCGGAACTCAGCTGCCACCCAGCTCCCCACTCATCCCACACTAGCCCAGAGGGGGCACCTCTGCTCTGTTGCTCCTAAAGGATAGGGGAGGGGGACCAAGACAGCCTGGGCTGTCTTGTGGCTCTCCTCTGAACCTATGTCTGTTCCTATCACCTCCCCATCCCACCTCCAACTCTGAATCTGGGGGAGACATAGGATAGATGTTCCAAGTTTAGGGTGTATCTTGACTGGAATTATGAATCTCAGGGTGCAGAGGTCCTTGAGTTTCCATTTTTCTGGGGGGTCAGCAGGACTTGGGGTAGGATCCTGCCTCTGACCCTCATTTTTGCATCCTGGAAATGGGAATTCCCTGTTTTATATCCACACAAAAGTTCATATGAAATAACGAGGACTTCAAAAACACTTGGAGAAGCCTGGCATGGTGGCACAGGCTTGCTATCCCACCACTCCATAGTCTGAGGCAGCTGAATTGCCATGAATCTGGGGGCGGGGGGACACTGACCTGTCCTGCGCTGCCTCCAGGCCTGGCTTGTGGGACACCCCCCCCCCCGACCAGCACCTCCATCTCTTCTAAGTCACTGATCTCCCAGCTCTGACTGCAGAGGTGGGAGGACTTGACAGAAGTTAATAGATGGATGTCAGAGGACAAAACCCAGAGAGTGGGGTGTACAGGCTCCTTCCCTCACCCCTTTGGGTCCCTTCATCCCTGTCCAGCAGGAGTGGAAGTTGAGGCACAGGATGTATCCAACTTCTTAAGCCAGGCTGGGATTTGAATCTGCGTCCATTTCCCCCCATCTTTGACACTACACTCTACGACGACCTTCCATGGGGAAACTGAGTCTCAAAAGGGGTCATGACTGAGCCCTGATGGGCACAGAAAACTGAGGCAGGAGGCTTGCTAAAACTGAGGCAGGAGGCTTGCTGTCAGTTTGAAGTCAGACTGGGCTACCCAAACCCTCTCACTTGGGGTTCCTGTAGCCCCTCTAATTAAGATGGAGAAACTGAGGAGCAGAGGGGAGAAACTTCTGCAAGAACATAAAGAGAAAAAAACATGGGGACTCCCCATGTTTACCACGGTTTCACCTGGCTCAGAGCTTGTGGGGGCCTCTCTGGGGATGGTTCTGTCCCCAGCATCACAGTCCAAGGATGTGGGCACAATGGACGTGGGGTCCGAGGTCCCCCTCACCTGTTGGGGTGTTGTGGAGTCCTGACGATCCACAGTCCTGAGGGGCGCGTTGGAGGCAGGGGAGAGAAGCTGTTCCGGGTCTGACTGGGCCGGCCTTTTAATGGCTCTGCCGCCACCCGGAGGCCGCCCTACTGCCCTCCCCAGCGACCAGCCACACCCTCCCCTCCCGGGTGAAACCCAAGAATCAAGAATACAGCTCAGCACTTTTTTTTTTTTTTTAATTTGCCTCTCTGGGAAAATCAAGAACATGGGGTGGGAGTTGGGGGCTTGTCACATGATGAAAGCAAAGGGGGACAGCAAGAGCACTTTAGCGGGAGGGGGGTGCTTAGGGCAGACTCAAAGGAGGAGGGAGAGGATGGGGTCCCACAGCATTGGCCACAGCCAAGGCCACGGTTGCCCCCTGCAAGGGCATCTCTCCTCCCAGCCTCTGCACCGCCCACTGTAGCTTTGGGTGGTGACAGGGGTCCTCAGTGGTGGCCCTGCACCCTGCTCACCAGGCTGGAGTCCCCAAGCAGAGACTTAGACAGGGCCTGGAGGTGAGAATGTGCTGGCCTGGGGCTCACTGCACCTCAGGGACAAGGGTGGCTGCCACTGCATAGAGCAGACAGCCACTGTCCACCCTGCAGGTGGGCGACCCCTTACAATGCAGCCAGGCGGCAGATATAGGGGTTCCCTTGCTCCAACCCAAGGTTGGGGAAATCTGCCTACCTAGAAATGCTTGGAGCTCGGCAGTGCTGGCCAGCATACTCCCTGATTTCTAGGGTATGTTGTGGGAAACTCAGGACCCCAGTCCAAGCCGATGGGAGAAGAGGGCAGGGGATGACCCCTAGGGTCCCCAAATTAGCACCAGGAAGAAGAAGGGCCCAGTGGGGGGTGATGTGGGAACCTGGGACATGAAGTGGCTGACTTGGGGCCCTGCCGACAGTGACCCTATCTTGGGGGTGACAGTCCCATACCCATTGAGGGGGGTGGGGAGGTACCCTCTTCTGAGCTCTGCCATCCACTGGGAGATCCAGAAGGGGCCGACCTCCATCCCAAGACCTTGAGCCCCCAGAGGAGTGTGCCCTCACCTTGCCTGCCTGCGATTCAGAGGCCAGAGAGCCCCTCTTTCCTGGTCTCCTCAGAGACTCCCTAAAAATAGCAGTAAGGCACAGACAGGCTGGCCTGGGGTGGCAGGGGGACACCACGGGTCACTCCAGCCAGGGCCATGGTGGGCGAGAGCCCCTGTGTAAACCTGCTGTGACCTGGGGAAGATGGGTTCCCCCGCTTATTTTCAGGGGTTTTTTAGCAGGTCAGCTTGTCTCTCACCTTAGGGGAAGGGAGACCCATGGCTCTGTGGTTTGGGGTAAGTGTTGGGTAGGTGATGGGCAGAGCGCCCTCCCCTCCCAGATTCAGGGTGTATCAAGGAGCCAAGGTGTCCCGTGTCCAGGCCATGAGGTGGAGGGTGAGGGCTTGCGGGCGCTGGGAGGGGCCGGGCTGCTGGGTGTGTGTGGAGCGGAGGATGGGGCGGGGACTGGGGTGTCCCCAACGGGTCACATGACAGAGCAGCATCTGCAGCGTGGCTTCTTCATGTCTAGGTCCTGCGTGTCACTGGGGGTGGCCACGGGCCCAGCCTGGTCCTCCTGGGTGGCTGGGGGCTCAGAGGCGCTGCCGTTGGGGGGAGCAGGCTCCCTGGAGGTGGCTGCATCTTCAATCACCACCAGTTCAGCCTTGATGGTGTCCTGCAGGCCCAGCACTTTCTTGGTCTCAGCTTCATCCTCCACATTCTGGTACCCCATGAACACCATAGTGACCGGGGGCTCCTGGCCTGGGTGGACACCTGGCGAGCCAGACATGGCCTCTCCTGGTTGAGCCTGTACTCCAGTGATCTCCCTCCTAGATGGCGTGGTCCTTGTCGCATCCTCAGTGTGGGCCCGGGGCTCAGCCATGGATCCTGTCTCACTCAGTATCACTTCATCTGCTTTGTGGATGAGTTCATCTACCTCAGAGGAGCTCAGCGGCTGGATGCCATTGACTGCAGTGCTGTCCACAGCGTGGACCACTGGGGGGAGGGAAGAGAAAGAGGTAAGCTGGGGGATATGGCTTGGTAGTCGAACAGGATACAGCTGACAGGGGACATCAGGGTAGCGCCACGCACACCTGTCACCTCGGTGCTCAGGAGGCTGAGACAGGAGGACTGTCGTGAGTTCGTCTTCCTGACTCAGTGTTTTGAGCACTGGGATGACATGCATGTGCCACCATGCTTGGCTGTCACATTCTGTGTTATGTTAAGCATGGTGTCTCTGTACCCAACTCTCGGGATATCAATCTACAACCTCCGAAACACCCTGGACCTCAGCCCTGTCAACTCCTTATAGAATCCCGGATTGTGTGGAGAGGAAGCAGGGTAGGCATGGGGTCAGGACCACTATCTCCAGGGGACAGCTGAACAAGGTGCCACCAGCTCCCAGCTTCCTAACCCCAGGGAAGGGAGTCCCCAGGCCAAGCCTCCTGCTAACCACGGGGCTGCAGTGGGTACAGTTAAGCATATCCCTTGAGGCAGGAATCTGAACCCCCCATCACCATGGAAACATCTCCTGCTGTTGCTAAACAACCAAAGTACAGTCTAGTCAGTCCTGGGTCCCCAGAGGTTGGCAGGGTTGAGAGGTGTCCAGGTGGGATGCTCACTTGGCCTTCTAATTTTCAAAAAGTTTCCATGTATTTGTTTTTATTTTATGAGTGTTTTGCCTGCATGGAAGTGCACCCATGTTATGCAATATGCACAGAGACCAGAAGAGGGCATCAAATTCCCTGGAACTAGAGTTACAGAATATTGTGAGCTGCCTGGTGGGAGCAGAACCTGGATCCTCTGCTCTCTCCAGTCCTGTGTGTAGTTACTCTGGAGTGACCCAGAAGGATGGTAGTAGCGTTCAGAGGAGGTTAATTATGGGAAGTCAAAGCTGGGAGGGACATGGAGACTTGGTGCCTTGACTGTTGCTCCGGGGAGCAAATGACATGCATACCAGACTGGCTATCTGCCCAAAGGATAAACAGTCACCCTCTGAGCCAGTAAGTCCAACTCATCAAACCTGAGAAATGAGTGGTATTCACACAGCAGTGTGCCCAGTACTGCATATACAGTGTGGTCCCTATACACAATGGAGTCACACAATGGAGTATAATGGAGCCCTGAACAGGAGCAAGATCCTAACACAGGCTACAGTGTGGAAGGATCTCAAGAAAATCATGCTCAGTGAAAGACAAAAATAGAAAAGGACACAGAGTGTGGGGCTCTATCACAGGAAGTGTCTAGAAAGGGGAATCAAGAGACAGGAAATGGATGCCCAGGTGCTGGGAATTGGAAAGAGGACAGGATGGTCCAAGGGGATGGGGTTTTCTTAGGGGTAATGGAGCATTCTGGAAGTAGAATAGATGCACACTATAGAACAAAACCTCATAAATCACAAATTTTAACAGAATTTTATGGCATATATTTTATATCTCGAAAGGAAGAAGGATGGGGTGGAGTTGCATATTATGGCTCCTGCCCAAGACATCCCAGTAAGGTTGGATCATAGTTTCCCCATGAGTCCTCCCACACCTACAACCCAGGAAAACATCTTTAAAACAAAGCCTGGGAATCTGGTGTGGTGGCGCATGCCTTTAAAGATCCCAGCACTCAGGAGGCAAAGGCAGGAGTATCTCTGAGAGTTCAAAGCCAGCCTGGTCTACATAGTGAGTTCCAGGCCAGCTGGGGCTACAGGGAGACCCTGTCTCCAAAAAAACAAAACAAAACAAAACAAAACAAAACAAACAGGGGTGCTGGAGACATCTTCCTAGAATCCCCCAGTGAAGGGCTGGGGTGTGGCTCAGGGGTAGAGTGACAGTGGAGAGACACCAGGGTTCACAGAGTTCAAGACCAGCTTGGGCAGCTTAGCCAGCCTGTGTCTCAAAAAATAAAAAGAGGGCTAGGGGTATGGCTCAGGGGTAGACTGACAGCCTAGAATCCCCAGTAAGGGGTTGGGGCATGGCTTTGTTGTAAGCATTTGGTTTACATTCTTTAGTTTGGGAATTCGATTCCAGCACTACAGACAAAAAACTCATCTCTGCTCCAGCACACAATGCATATCCATCAAGGATCCAACCCCATGTCCCCTGTAGCTCAGACCCCTCCTTGCTGGAGTCCACATCCTTACCACCTAGGCCTTTGTACATATTGTTGCTTCTACCTGGTGCACTGTCCCCTCTGCCTACCTGCTCATCCCTGAGCCCCCTCTTTGAGAAGCCTCCTCTTACCCTGCCTTGCATCCCTAAGTCTGCTTCTTGTCATCTATATAACAGTCATGTATCTGGCTGATCTAAGCTGGTGGCTGAACTTGCCTCCCATGAGGACCTTTGCTGACCTCTCTCTGGGTCTCACTACAGGACGCACCTTACATCCCCCAGCCCCGAGTGACCAACTGGACCAGGTGCAGGGCTGGGCTGGACCCTGGCTGTGCACAGTGCACCATACCCAGGAGGACTTCTCCTACCTTTGGTCTCGTCCTCGTAGACTTTCACGCCCTGAGGAAGTGGATCCCGGGGGAGCAGTGTGGTGCTGGACAGCACCCTGGTCTCCCCGGTCACCTTGTCCTTCTCCACCGTGATTTCGACAGAGTACATGGCTGATACAAGAGGCACTGGGTTACCCCGAGGCCCATTCGCCTTTGAGTGTCCCCCACTGGGCTGCGGCCAAGCCAGGGAAGGGAGTCAGCAGCACAAAGCCAAGCAGTAATGGGCAGCCATGCCGGTGATGCTGGGACACCAGCTAGACATGGCCCTTCTCAGCTCTAGATCCTTCCATAGCTCCCTGCTACCAAGGGCTCAAGTGTGACCTGTGCTCAGCATCTGGACTCCAAGCTACATCCCTCAACCAGGTCCCTTGGCTTTGCATCTTTACATGCTATGCTCTAACAGAGCCACAGACACTCATGCCTATAATCTCAACACTTGGGAGGTTGAGGCAGGAGGAATGCCGTAAGTTAAAAAAAGGAGGGGCAGGAAGAGGAGAATGAGGAGCAAGAGGATGAGGGGGAGTGGGAGGAGGAGGAAGAGCAGGAAGAGGAGGAGGATGAGAATAAGAGGATGAGGAAGAGGAAAGGAGGAAAAGGAGGAGGAGAACCAGGAGGAGGAGGAGGAGGAGAAGTGGAGGAACAGGAAGAAGAGGAAGAGCAGGAGGAGGAGGAAGATGAGGAAGAGGAGAAAGGAAAAAAACTCAGGAAGAGACGGAAGTCTTTTTTTTTTTTTTTCAGACAAGGTCTCCCTGTAGCCCCACCTGGCCTGGAACTATGCGGCCCAAGCTGACCTAGATTTCACAGAGACCTGCCTGCTTCTGCCTCAGGAGTTCTGGGTTTAAAGGCATGTACCACCATGCCCGTGGAGACTGAGTGCTCCCTGCAGCCACCCAGGCACCAACGTTGCTCCCCAGAATCCTCACAGTGCTAGTGAGGTTGCCCAGCTAGCAGCCTCATCAAGCATCTGGCACAGAACACACTGGACGGGGTTTCAGGGACACTATTACAGCCCGTTGTCTGTCCCTATTGGCATGACTCTCTCGAGGGTACCAAGAAGACCCTTCCTCCCACAGGTGACCCTCAGACCATCTAGAACTTTCCAAGGCTCTTCCACAAGGCCCCCACCCAGGTCTCAACCCTGCACGGTTCCCTAGTTTAGTGGTTGCTTGCGCCCTGGTCTACTCTCCTTTCAGCCACCAGAGGGCACTCGTGAGCACCACCTGCACGGGAGAGTCCTGCTTTTTCCAGGACCCTCAAATCAAAACCCAAGTCCTCCTGAAGCCCCAGAGTCTTACAATTGCTTCCTCCTTGTCCCACCATATCCCTTCTTTTTCTTTCTTTCTTTCTTTTTTTTTTTTTTTGGTTTTTTTGAGACAGGGTCTCCCTGTAGCCCCAGCTGTCCTGGAACTCACTATGTAGACCAGGCTGGCCTTGAACTCACAGAGATCTGCCTGCCTCTGCCTCCCAAGTGCTGGGACTATAGGCATGCACCACCATGCCCGCATCCTCCTGGGTTTTATGTGAGTCTGCTTAGTGTCAGGCCCTTTCAGGTCAGCATGATGCCGAGCTGGCACAGGTGGAATTGATGCAAGTGTTTTCAGGCATTGGGAGTGTACTGAGCTTCTGTGCCACCCTGGGGTCCCCAGGTGGAGGTTAGGGGTAGAAGCCATGGGGTGTTGGCTGGGTTAGAGCCTGCATGCTGGGCCTGTCTTCTCGGAGGAAGCCTGGGCCAGTGGACGTGCAGCAAAGCATCAAGGTTCTGGGACCACCAGACACCATGCCCAGGGCAGGTCTGGGTAAACCCCGCCCTGCCAGCCCCCAACCCTCAGTATGGAGGCTTGGCCCAATTGGCAGCTGGATACAGAGTGGGCCCTGGGGTCCAACGCACCTGCTTTCATCATGGTGGAACCCTCGGCGGTCCTCACTGGGGTGCGGGAGACTTGTTTCTCTGTGCCGGCTGGGTGGAAAAAGAAAGGAGTCAGAGACAAGGTCACAGGAACCCCCAAACATCCTTGCACCTGCCTGAGTCCAGACGGCAGATTCAAATGGACCACAAACCCAGCCAGGTATCCATATGCACCTGAACACTGAGACCTCCAGGACCTGTACTGGCCCCCAGATCCTGGGACAGGTGCCCCTGCACCCCCAGACTCTCAACACACCCACCTGCAGCTCCAGACTCCAGACACATCTGCCTGAACCTCAAGACCCCTGGTACATTCATCTGAACTCCCAAACTCCCAACATACCCACCCATACCTCAAGATCCCCATCTCATGCACCTGCACCCCCAGCTCTGCACACTCCCAGCACCCCTCTCTCAAAAGCTAACTCCCACTTAGCCCCACACTCTCATCACTTGGCCCAAACAATTTTCACAAAACCTGAGAGGCTTGAATGGATTTTCTTTTAATTATTAATTTTTAATCCTACAGTAAGACAGGGAGCCATGCTCCTTATGAATAATTAACACAGCAAATCAGGCCACAGAGTCTTTGAGCCACACAGTCTGAGCCAGTGTTGTGCTGAGCAGGAAACTGCTCACAGAGACTTTCAAAAACATAGGGCTGCAGCTTTGTGGCAGGAGCTCCCCAGCATGTACGAGGCCCTCAATTCATCCCTAACACCATATAAACCATGTGTGGTGGCACACACCTGTCATCCTAGCACTTGGGAGGTAGAGGCAGGAGGATCAGTTCAGGGTTATCCTTGGCAACATAGGGAATTTGCTACACAACAGCATTCTGAAAAAAAATGTCATGGGGGCTGGATAGACAGCTCAGTGGTTAAGGGCATTGACTGTTCTTGCAGAAGACCCAAGGTTTGGTTCCCAGCACCCATATGGCAGCTAACAACCATCTGTAACTCCAGTTCCAGGTGATCTGATGCCCTCTTCTGGCCTCCCCAGGCATTGCATGTACAGGTGTACTTACATACATGTAGGCAAAACTCATAACACACAAAAAGAAAATAAGCAATTTTTTTTTTTTAAAGATAGGGTCTCCCAGTAGCCCCAGCTGGCCTGGAACTCACTACATATCCCAGGCTGGCCTCAATCTCCCAGAGATCCGCCTGCCTCAGCCTCTTCATTTTGCTGGGATGATAGGCTTGCACTACCACACCCAGCTCCTTGCCCCATTCTACAGATGTGAACACAGAGGCCTTCTGGGAGAGCATCACATACTCCATGAGGGAGCGGTTGGCCTGGCGCAGACCTACAGTCCTTTGGAACACACAGTGGTATGACCCCTGCCAGCCTCAGCTCCAGCCTCAGTTTTCTCATCTGTAAGAGACAGGAATGTTCCTCCACCTCAGAGACTGAAAATCCACTTAGGAGGGCCTCCACTCTTGTCTGCCATCCCTGCTCCAGCCACCAGAGGACACCAGAGCTCACATGCCCCTGATGGATGCTTACCTTTTGGGGTGCCCACCAGAGTCTGCAAGAGAGAAGAGACTGGTCAGAGCTACCCACCCTGCTTCCTGCACCACCCTGCTTCCTCCACAGGCCTCGGCCTCCATCAGTTTGTGAGTCTACATTTGGGAACTCCTGCTCAACCTTCAAAACCCTCATCTAGTAAAGAGGCCTGCCTGCCTCCTCATGAACCCAGATGGGGGGACCCCATGATGCCTGGGGATTCCCTGATCATAGGTCTGACACCCCCTTTATGTATTGTGGTCCCTGATAATAAACATATCCAACTGGCAGCAGTGGAGAGAGGCCAGAGCTCACACCCCTGATTCTTGGTCTTCCTAAACCCAGCACAAATGTTCTGAGGGGTTCCTGACCCCAACATTGGAGGTACAGATAAGAGCTGTGGTGAAGCTCAGTGTCAGAGTGCTTTCCCAGCATGGACAAGCCCTTGAGGTCATCTCCAGCAGGGCCCCCAAAGGCCTGTGAGCTGTCTGGGCTGGAGTCAGACCTTCAACCCCTCTGGGCTCGGGGTGAGTCCTCTGCCATTGGAGATTTTTTTAAACTATTCTTATTTATTTACAAAAGATTTTATTTATTTATTTATTTATTTATTTATTTATTTATTTAATGTATATGGATGTTCTGCATGCATGTATGTAAGTGCACTCGTGTGTGCAATGCCCATGGAGGTCAAAAAAGGGCATCAGATCCCCTGGAATTGGAGTTATAGATGGTTGTTAGCTGCCATGGATTTGGTGCTGGGAACCAAATCCAGGTCCTCTACAAGAGCAGTCAGTGCTCTTAACCACTGAGCTGACTCTCTAGCCCCTAATTTTAAAATATTTTATTTATTTATTTTTAAATTTTATGTGTATAAGTGTATTGTCTGCATGCATATAAAGTGCACCTGAGTTCTGCAATGCCTGTGGAGGTCAGATGAGAGGGTTGAATTCCCCTGGAACTGAAGTTACAGGCAGTTGTTAGTCACCATGTGGGTGCTGGGAATCAAACTTGAGTGCTCTGCAAGAACAGTCAGTGCCCTTAACCACTGAGCCATCTCTCCAGCCCTTCCAGGCCCTATTTTGTTGTTTTATTGAGACAGGGTCTCCTTGTAACCTCAGTTGCCTGGAACTCATTATGTGGCCCAGGCTGGCTAGATCTCACAGAGATCTGGCGGCCTCTGCCTCCTTAGTTCTGGGATCAAAGGCATGGGTTTTACCATGCCCAGCAGGCTGGAAGATTTTTTTGTTGTTGTTTGTTTGAATTTATCTTTTATTATTATTGTAGAAAGGGGGTGCACAGATGATGACGTACATGTAGACGTCAGAGTACAACTCTCCTTCCAGTTTTCCCTGAGTCCTGGGGATTTAGCTCAGGTCACCAGGCTTCTGAGTCACTTAAGCAGCAGATCCATCACACTGGCCCACAAACGGGGACAGTTTTTTCTTTTGAGACAGGATTTAACAGTGCAGAGGCAGGCAGATCTCTGTGAGTGCCTGGTTTACATACTGAGTTCCAGGCCAGCCAGGGCTGCATAGTAGGACCCTGTCTCAAAAAAATAAAAATAGGTGCTGGGCCAGGCGTGGTGGTGCATGCCTTTAATCCCAGCACTTGGGAGGCAGAGGCAGGCGGATCTTTGTGAGTTCGAGGCCAGTCTGGTCTACCTAGTGAGTTCCAGGACAGTTGGGGCTACAGGCAGACCCTGTCTCAAAAAGAAAAAGAAAAGAAAAATTGGTGCTGGAGAGGTGGCTCAGCAGTTAAGATCACTGGCTGGTTTTGCAGAGGACCCAGGCTCAATTCCTGGCACCCACATAATTGCTAACAACGGTCCCTAACTTCAATTCCAGGGGATCCAAAGCTGTCTTCTGGCCTCCACAGGCATTTCGGGACACCAGTGTGTTTACACACCTGCAGACAAAACACTCAGACACATAAAATGAAAATTATGGACAGTCGTTAGCTGCCATGTGGGTGCTGGGATTCGAACCTGGGTCTTCTGCAAGAACAACCAGTGTTCTTAACCGTTGAGCCATCTCTCCAGCCCCATAAATAAAATATTTTTGTAAAAATTAAAATTAAAGCTGGGTGTGGTGGCACATGCCTTTAATCGCAGCACTCGGGAGGCAGAGGCAGGTGGATCTCTGTGAATTCAAGGCCAGCCTGGTCTACATAGTGAGTTCCAGGACAGCTGGGACTACAGGGAGACCCTGTCTCAAAAAGACCAAAAAAATTAAAATTAAATCAGTAATAATAATAACCATAGGATAACAGGCAGGTGTGTCTATCTGGGGTGAACGCCTTATGTAGTAATTCAACTGATCATTGTGATGTATGACAGATGAACACTGTAGTTGCCTCCAAAGATAGGAAACAGGCCCAGAGAGGGCCAGCAGCAGCTCCAATCACATGGCTCTGGCCCTTGTTTTACTTGGTACGCTAAGCACTCCAGGCACCGTGAGGAAGGATAGGTATAACTCAGGACCTGGCCACCCCGGCACCTCTTACCTGCTGAGAATTCACCATGACTTCAGCCTTTGGCTCTTCCCTGGTGGGGTTTTCACATGGGGCTTGGGCTGGGCTGGGGGCTGCCGAGCTCTGCCTTGGGGGGACTGGAGTGGAGTCCCCAAACTCCAGGACATCAATTTCTTTTTCCAGCCTGTGGAGGGACAAGGGACAGGTCACATGGGGTTCCAAGAATTTAGTTTTCTTTTGTCATGTAGCCCAGGCTGGCCACTAATTTACTATGTAGCTGAGGCTGACCTTGAACTCCTGTTCCTTCTGCCTCCACCTCCCAAGTACTGGGATGGCAGGTGTGTGCCATCACACCTGGTTTGTATGTTGCTGGGGATGGAACTCAGGGACTCAGGCATGCTAGATGCGCACTGTACCCACTGAGCAACAAGCAGTCTACCTACTGAGCTACAAGCACGCACTCTACCCAGTGAGCTATAAGCACTCTATCTACTGAGCTACAACTCTAGCCCCTTTTATTTTTGAGACACAGTTTTACTGTGTTGCCTAGGCTGGCCTGGAGGTCTCCATCCCTCTGCCTCAGCCTCCCAGTGCTGGGATGGTAGGTGTATACAAAATGCTGGGCTCGAATTTAACTGATTTTTTTTTAAAGTCTTTTCGAGACAGGGTCTCTCTGTAGCCCCAGCTGTCCTGGAACTCACTATGTAGACCAGGCTGGCTTAGAACTCACAGGAGATTTGCCTGCCTCTGCCTCCCCAGTGCTGGGATTAAAGGAGTATGCCACCACACCTGGTTTACTTTTAATTATTATTTTTTTAATTTTATGTGCATGAATGTTTTACATGCATATAGGTGCACCCATGTGTACAATACCTGAGGCAGTCAGAAGAGGGTGTCAGAACCCCTGGAACTGGAGTTACAGACTGTTGTTAGCCTTCATGTGGGTGCTGGGAACTAAACTTGAATGGGTGCTCTTAACTGATGAGTCATCTCTCCAGCTCCCTAATTTTATTTCATTTATTTTTTAAAAAATATTTTATTTATAGCTGGGCATGGTGGCACATGCCTTTAATCCCAGCACTTGGGATGCAGAGGCAGGTGGATCTTTGCGAGTTCGAGGCCAGCCTGGTCTACATAGTGAGTTCTAGGACAGCTGGGGCATCTCAAAAAGACAAAAAACAAAACAAAACAAAACAACTGAAAAATTAATGTATATCAATGCATATCAGTGAGGAATTGATGTGGTTTTGTACAGAATGGAATATTATGTAGTCATTAAAATGATAATGAAAAATACACTGATAAGGAAAGAATTCTATAGCATATTATAGAGTGAAATAAGCTGTTACATAATAACATCCCCCAGCTCCTTAATTAAAAAATTTTAAAAATTTATTGTTATTTCTTTTTTTTTTTGGTCTTTTTGAGACAGGGTCTCCCTGTAGCCCCAGCTGTCCTGGAACTCACTATGTAGACCAGGCTGGCCTTGAACTTACAGAGATCTGCCTGCCTCTGCCTCCCAAGTGCTGGGACTACAGGCGTGCACCACCATGCCCGACTGTTATTTTCATTTTATGAGTATATTGCCTGAATGTTAGTAAGTGCATCCATGTACAAAGCCCATGAAGGTCAGAGAGGGTACTGAATTCCCCTGCAACTGGAGTTATGGATGGTTGTTAGCTGCCATGTGGGTGCTGGGAATTGAAAGTGAGTCCTCTGCAAAAGCAGCCAGTGCTCTTAACCACTGAGCCATTTCTGCAATTCCCTGTAACTTTATTTTGTGTCTTTATGAGTGTGTGGGTGTGCATGTATCACAGTGTACGTGTGGAGGTCGAAGGACAACTTGCTGAATTTCACTCTCTCCTTCTACCTTGTGGGTCCTGGGGATCGAACTCAGGTCTTCTGACTTTGCAACAAGCATCTTTTCCCATGTTTTGCCACCCCATGTATTGTTTCTTTGAGATAAAGTCTTGCTATTCAACCCAGGTTAGCTGGCAGCTCACTGGCAGCAGACAGCAGAGCTGAGATTCCCATCAGGGCAAGCTCTCCTGTATGCCTAGTTGCTAACAAAAAAAACAAAACAAAACAAAACAAAAACCAAAAACACACTTCCCCCTTCCTCCTCCCCTATCCTGCACAAATTCATTTAACAGGAAATGTTAGCACTGTAGAGACAATGGGAAAGTATGTGTGACTTTTACAAGTGTCTGCCTGTGTCAGAAGGCATCAGTACAAACAGTCCTGGACTGAACTAGGGGAAGAAGTAGTAGTGGGCTGTCCGCCTAGCGGGAGGGGGGCTGTGGCTGAAGGGCTGTTGTCAGTTTCAGGTTAGTCTGAATTATGGAGAATCTGGCACAAAAACCCAAAAATAACAAAAAAGATAAAAATGTAACAGGGTCTCCCTTGTAGCCCCAGCTGGCCTGAAACTCACTATGTGGACAAGGTGCAGGCAATACACTCATACACATAAAATAAAAATAATAAATTTCAAAATAAAAAAGACACTCTTCTGGGTGTGGTGGCACATGCCTGTAGCCCCAGCACTTGGGAGGCAGAGGCAGGTGGATCTCTGTGAGTTCAAGGCCAGCCTGGTCTACATAGTGAGTTCCAGGACAGCTGGGGCTACAGAGAGACCCTGTCTCAAAAAGACCAAAAATAAAAAATAAAAGAGACAGATTGGGACAGTGAAGGTCTGGGGGAGTGGCTCAGGGGTAGAGTGATAGCCTAGAATCCCCAGCCCCTGACTGGCCAGGGCATGGCTCAGGGTAGAGTGAGTATCTAGCCTGCTTGAAGTTCATGTTTCCATCTTTAGCAAGGCAAAAACAAAACTCTGAAAAACAGACAGGGTTCCTGACTCCCAGGATCAAAGAAAGGTAAACTGAAGTCCTGTGCAAGGCCACCTTTGGCTCCCTTCAGTTCCAGGGGTGTCCCAAACACTATCTTTAACAGTTCCCACCTTGACAGGGAATCCCAACAAACTCCATAGGCAAGGATGACTCACCCGTGATCCCTTCCTTCCTGTGCTAGAACTGGATTTGTCCACTTGCCTGACCCTCTGCTCTGAGCCAGGCCTGACCTCACCTGCGACACTGGTGGTCAGCCCCACAGGAAGGCCTTTCTCTGTCCTGACCCTTCCTGCCTTCCTGGAGGCCTCTGTGACCTCTATTAGTGCTGCTGGACCATTGGGCTGGCACCATGAGCCCCCAGGGAGGTGGTATGGCTTCTCCCTTCCTCAGGGACCTGCCAACTGACCCAGGCCTTACACCTACTCTAGGGTGTCACAGAGGAAGAGACCCAGGTGGCCTATGCCCTACAGCCTTCAAGTGGACCCTGGGGCTTCACACCTGCCCCATGCAGCCTGGGGCCCAGACCAATGTCCTTGGGTTCAGTCCTTGGTGTGGTCTTGACCATCCACACCAGGGACCTATTCCCAGTGGACAGGGCCCTCCCCAACTGCCCAGTGGATAGGCCCCTCACCAGAGGCCCACCTGCCGATGGTGTCCTCTAGGAGCCGGGCCTTCTGCTCATCCTCCTGCATCTGCTTCCTCATGTCCTCATCACCCTCGGAGGTGGAGGATGGCGTCCCCTCCAGCAGCCAGCGCTCCCGTAAGGCCTTGGACTGGAGGTACCAGCATCAGTTAGGATCACAGATGGGTTAAGATCCAGGTTCGAATCTTTATTGAATTATGATTAGAGTCTGTACTGAGGTCAAGGTCAGAGTGAGGGTTGTGGTCACCAGTTTATGCTCAGGTTGGACATCAGAATGGAGGGTCACGACAGTCACCCATGCAGGCCCCATCCTGGAGGAGCTGCTCACAAAGCCCTGGGTCCCCCAAAAACCAGGCCTCAAACAGTCCCCACACAGGCTCCAGACACACAGGTACACACCCCACATAGGCCCAGCCCTGAGAACCTGCACACCCTACACAGGACCTGCCCACACATACCTCACCCACACTGATGCACACTCTACACAGGCCCCACCCATACAATCCCCGCCCCACGCCTCCGCACACCCCATAAGGCCCTGCACTCACAGGCTCCACCCGTACAGGTGCACGCCCCACTAAGGCCTCGTTCACACAGATGTACACCTCACACACACCCCGCCCCCACAGGTGCACACCCAGACTGGCCCACCCACACAAGCCCCATCCTACATATGTGCACAGCCACACATCCCACAAGGCCCTGCCCTGCACAGATGCACACCCCAATAGGCCCCACCCACATAAGCCTCACCACACAGGCCTGCCCACACAGGAGCACATGCCGCAGGCCCCGCCCCCGCAGGTGCATGCCCCCAAAGGCCCCGCCCATACACCCCTGCTCTCATAGGCCCAGACCTCAGGCGCACCCTACCTTCAGGTGTTGCAGCTGCCTCCTGTCCTCCTCCAGCTGCCTCCGCTTGCTCTCGATCTCAGCCTGCTTCCGGCGCTTCTCCTGTGGGCCTGGGCAGGTCAGGACAGCCAGGGTCCCCAGGACCACACCCACCCGAACCTGACCCAGTAGACCCGCGCCACTGAGGACTATCCCCAATACAGGGCGTTCAGTCATGGGAGCATGAGCAGACCGCGGCCTGGGTTCCATCAAACCCCCGCCTCGGTTTCCCCACCTGCCCCTCCAAGGTCAGCAAAGGCCACGTGCAAACACTGCCCTCTATTTTCATTTCTGAGGAAGCCTCTGATAACTGGGACCTCAGACAAGTCTCCACTCACTTTGCCCGGGTTCTGGGCTCCGAAACCCTAGTCCCCCATGACCCCAGGCCCACGACAGGAACTCACAGCAATGGCCTGGAGCCGCTCGTGCTGGGACGCCGTGTCTGTGACCAGGACCCTGCGGACGGGGGACAGAGCTCTCACCAGCTGGGCCACCTGGGGCCACTCTGACCCCAGGCTGCTCCCTTTCTGTCAGGCGGGACTTCGTCCCAAAATGGCCTGGGATCCTTGCTCCCACCTACTAAGCCACGGGAAGGATAAAGACCTCCTCCCCCGTCGACCTCACAGAGTCTCATGGCAGCCCAAGGTCTCAGAGAGAGTGTGAGTTTCCCTCAAAGCACCTGCCAGGCCAGGATCCAACCTCACTCACCTCCTGGGCTCCCACTTCCCTGACCCCCCCGACCCCCGA